TCCTATTTAGGTACATATAATGTGTAATATGTATATTAGGGTGGTCCTTATATGGCAGTTTTGAAAAAATATTTAAATTTCTCATGGGAAACCCCCTAGATTGGTTTAGTTACATATAAAAATGAAATATTAGAAGTTTCAAGACAATCAAAAAAAGTTAAGCTGTGCCACAAGAGCCCCAAACTTATTCATTTTTGATTTTCACAAATTATTTTATATTTTAAATTCTGACCAATGAAATATTAATTTTTTACAAAATTGTATCTTACAATATTTGTATAAAATACTTTTTTATAAATTTTACATCCTTTACTGTTTTTCATAGAATAATTATTTTACAAACAAATATCGTTTTTATACTAAATTTTGTTTATTTTTAAAATTTTGTGGACAAGGAGTACCATTGTGACATCCAATATAGAACGTTTATTTTGTTAACTATAATCTATATCAATAATCAATATAATAAGTATTATAATATTGAAATATAACTTACTTCATGCATACAATTGAATAGGACAGTATTAAGTATAAATACACTATTGTACATTATGGTTTATCTTAACGGTTTGTTGGAGATAAAATGCAATACCTAACTAAATTCAATAAATATCTATTTTTGTCTTATCTTATCTTGGATAGTTGAATATGGATTATTTCTCGAACCAACTGACCCGTACTAGGTATATTGTTTAAAGAGGTTTTAGTTTTGTTGTGACTTTGGTTTCAACATTATTATATATTGCGTGTAATTCAAATTGTGTTATTAAAGTTATCATGGTTACAAAAAGTAGTTTACGTGATGCTAACTACATATACTTAGTTGGACATCCATCATCTCAAATCGTCGGTAGTAAATTGCCGTCAATTCAACAGGTGTTATCTGTGTTTTTTTATAATATGCGTGAGGTAAAGCTTAACATAAATGAAAGTTCTAAATTAGTTATAAAAGAAGTAAGTGTTTTCTGGCAAAAAGCACGTATACCGATAAAAGCAGAACAACACTGTATTTCAAAATTACAAAAATATTACTATGAATGGAGAGATTTACAAAAATTGCACCACAGAAAAACTGAAACACAAAAAAAAAAAAATGAACAATTTATTTCTACATTAAATGATCTATTTGATATTGCACAAGCTGATGCACTGAATATTATGAAGATAGAAGAAGATAGATCATTTTTAATTTCTCAAAGACAAAAAAACCGTCCTGGATCAATGCTTGGAGTTGATTTAAAAATTACCAGAAAGGAAGAAAGGGCTGCAGAACGACTGAAAGTATTTGAAGAAAATAGAAAACGTACTTATAGTGAAATGGAAATAGCTAGTGAGTTAAATTATTAATATTTTGAAAATATTAAATTTATTAAGTATTAATATTGTATAATGTTTTAAATTATTATATTTTATTTATTTTAGCTACGTTTCGAGACACCACTTTGTTGTCTGACGCGTCCACTAGCGAAGATGAAGAGGATATGAATCAACCTGGTCCATCTAAATCGCCAACAGACTGCACAAAAAAAGTAAGAGGAAATACAGATTTTATAACGGCAAAACTAGCAGCTGCATTTGATAGATGTAAAATTAGCGACAGAGATGCGGTTCATATTTTAATTGCAACTGCAGAAGCATTAGGTAAAGATTTAAATGAATTAGTTATAAATAGAACTTCAATTCGGCGTTCACGTATATGTCTTCGAAAAGAACGTGCTGAAAATATTCGTAATAACTATAAAATATCGATCGATGATTCAATAACTATTCACTGGGATGGGAAACTTTTACCGGCTTTAACAGGCAAGTACAATGTGGATAGACTTCCAATTGTAGCTTCATGTAATGGTAAAGAACAATTACTTGGAGTTCCGGCTCTTGATACCGGGACAGGAGTTGATCAGGCTAATGCAATATTTCAAACACTTGAAGATTGGTGTGTTACAGATAATATTCAAGCATTATGCTGTGATACAACTGCCTCCAATATGGGTCGTATAAAAGGTGCCTCTGTTTTATTGGAGCATTTATTACAGCGTAATATTTTATACGTGCCGTGTCGGCATCATATTTTTGAAATTGTATTGAGGAGTGTATTTGAAGTGACATTTGGTATAACTACATCAGGTCCAGACGTTCCAATTTTTAAACGATTTAGAGAATTTTGGTCAAATGTAAATACTACAAATTTTGAACCTGGTATCAAAAATGAATATGTTGAAAAATTATTGCACAACGTTATTACAGAAATAATAGAGTTTTGTATTAGTTATTTAAATAAAAAGCTCCCTAGGGAAGATTATAGGGAACTGTTAGAGTTAACCATAATTTTTCTTGGAGGAGTACCATCACGAGGACTCTCATTTAAAATACCTGGAGCCATACACCATGCACGGTGGATGGCCAAA